CTCTATGCTCTGGGTCTTACTCACCCACCTACTTAGACGTAGATGAAATCCCTGCCAACATCATGAAGCCATTTTTAAGAAACTGTTCTAGCCTGGTTGGTATAGCTCAGTGGATTGAGCATGGGCCTATGAAACAAAGGGTTGCAGGTTCAATTCCCAGTCAGGGTACCTGGGTCCGGTCCCCAGTAGGGGACATGCAGAAGGTAACCCCACATTGACATTTCTCATCATCTCTTTTTCCTTCCCTTCCCTCTAAAAATAAAATAAATAAAATATTTAAAACAAAAGAAACTGTTCTAGTTTAAAGAACATAGTTTTTCTCTCTCATTTTTCCCCTATAGATAAAAAAGATTATTAGGGGGGAAAATTAGTGTTGCTCTAATTTATTGATGACCCTACCCTTTCTCCCATCCATGAATTAGAATACGAGGAAGAAAATACATGGATAACAATGCCTTTAACTACTGTTTATCTTTTTTTTAACCTTAATAAAGATTTAAAGAGTTGCTTTGAGTGCTCAGCAACATGGAGAAGGGCCTAAGTTCTTCTCATCCTACTACTTCACTATCCTTAGCATGCTGACATTAATTTCAATATTGCCTCACAGGTGCAAAATGGCTACCACCATTCCAGACATCATGTCTTCATGCAGCAGTGCCTAATACAGGAGAAAGGACGACTGAGATAAAAAAATGTATAATAGCCCTCTTTTATGAACCTGTTACCTTCTCCAAGGAGGACATACAGAACATTCAGAGACACATGAAGAGATGCTCAATATCGTTAGCTATCAGAGATGCAAATTAAAACCACAATGAGATACCACTTTACACCAGTCAGGATGGCTATCATAAACAAAGCAACAAACAACAAATGTTGGAGAGGTTGTGGGGAAAAGGGGTCCTTAGTTCACTGTTGGTGGGATTGTAGACTGGTACAACCATTATGGAAAACAGTATGGAATTTTCTCAGAAAAATAAAAATTGACCTGCCTTTTGACCCAGCAATTCCACTGCTAGGATTATACCCCAAGAATCCTAAAACATCAATTTCAAAGAACCTATGCACCACAATGTTCATAGCAGCACAATTTACAATAGCCAAGAGTTGGAAGCAACCTAGGTGCCCATCAGTAAATGAATGGATCCAAAAATTGTGGTACATATACACCATGGAATTTTATGCAGCAGAGAGAAAGAAGGAGCTACTACCTTTTGCAACAACATGGATGGAACTGGAAAGCATTATGCTGAGTGAAATAGGCCAGGCATTGAAGGACAAATACCATATGATCTCACCTTTGACAGGAAGCTAAAGAATAAAACAACGAAAAAAAACAAGCGGGAAGCAAGAAGAAAGGAAAAAAAAAAAAAAAAAAAAGAAGCAAATCTTTATCAAAGGCTCATAAGACTAGTTTTTACCTTTCACTGGCCTCTGCCCAACCTTACAATAATATTGGCAAAACAAGTCTAAGGCATTCATGGATTAACCCACTAAACATGAGCACATTCCTGCCAAAATAAAATTGGAATGCTTTAGTACGAAAGAAAAAAGCTGGACATTGAATAGACCACTGTGTATGCCATGAACTGCTGCAAGATTTTTGAGAAATATCACATGTGGGCTTCTCTGATCCTCCCTCATTCTGTCCTTCCCTCCATCCTTCCCTCCTTCCTTCTTCCTTACCTCCCTCCCTCCCTTCCTTCCTTCCTTCTACTAGTAAGGAGCATTTAAGTAAAATGAAAATGTGGCATAATTCTAAGCAAGTTCTATTTATCCCTTCTCTGTATAGTCTAGCCCCTTAATAAATATAAAGAAGCATATTTCTCTTTAAAAAACTATAAAAATAAGTTATAATAAATAGGTGACTTCCTAAAATACTTTAAAAATTATACTGCACTTTCTTATTTGTTTAATTTGTCATTTCAGCTCTGCTTTATTTAATTCTGGGTTGCTCAGTTGTTTCAGTGAGTAGTTGATGCTATAAATTAAGTTTTCTAGCCTCTCATTCTGTCAAAAAATATTCCATTCAAAATTCATTAGGGCCTGCTGTCTCCAATCACTCGAGAAGAGTTGCATATGTGAAGCAACAACACTTATAATTCGAGAAAGAAATATTTAATAATATAAATGTATCTATAATATAGTTTTAATTATCAGGTGTGGGTTTTTTTAGAGCAAGTCAAGTCAGCCTTTCAAGTGATCCATCTTTAAATAACAGCTGTGTTCCTCCTTTATTTTCCTGTCAATCTAATATCCCCCCTAAGTTTTTTTCTTTCCCCTTTAAGAGTGACTCTATTTATCTGAATCTATCCATTTATTCCTCATTTTTCAAGTTTAAACTAGCAGATGAAGACAGACTACTTCCAAACATCTGTGATGAAATGCTTTACCTGAAACTCCTGCTGCGAGTAAAGCTGATTTTAATTATATGATATTTGAAAATTTCTTTCACAGGAGCTGTAAGTGACAGTGTTCAGTGTAAGATCATGTTGTCACCTAGGCGCTCCCTGTTAGGCACACTCTTATCCCAAACAAGAAATACATACCACTCTTGGTGTTTAAATAGAGCCTTCTCAGTAAACAACAGTTTTGATATCACGAATGTTTATGATATTCCCACTTCAAGATGACTGGAAATGTTTATATGTGCATATTATTTCAATCATATAACCTTACAGAAAACAATTAAGAAAATTGATTGGTACCAATCAATTCACTGGGAAAATTCACTGGGTACCATTACCCAGAAAGACTCTAGAGAGTCGAAAATGTGGCTGTAAATCACATAACACTATTTTCACTTGCACAATAATGAGATTTTTATAACATCTGGGTATTGGGTGAGTGAGCTTTCCTGATAATCCCCAAACTGAAGTCCGTGAGTCCTCTATCGCCCACAGCAGCCATGTGTGCACCACACCTGCACGCTCCTAATTTCACAGTCACATTCTTTCCCACAGCCCTTTTCCTCTGCCAACCCCGGAACACTGGGACCCACAGTGCCCCCACCACTCAGCTCTACTCTCTACTCCCTATGATTCTCATCTACAACTATAACTTCAACTATTACTTAAATGTCAATGACTGTTAAGTTTGTGTCTCTATTTCCAGACTGCTCATCCCCTTTGAACTTCAGGACCATACCTCCACCTTCCTTCCAGGTAATCCCTGTATATTTAGGGATTAGACTACATTCAAACAAATCTGGACTCAACCTTTTATCCTATAAGCTTATTTCTACATTTGCTATCTGGATTCAAAGCATCACAACCAGTTCAATAACCAAGACTGGAAACTTCAACTGTCCTAAATGCCTCTATTCTCCCTTCAGAACTCTCTGAAATCATTCACAAATGCCTGAAGTGTGTACCCTGGAATCATTCAAAACTCTCTGACCTTCTTTTAGTTCTCACTATCATAGATCTTACACAACTCATCCTTCTTCACATTGGCTTTAGTAAATGCTTTTAAAACTTGTCTGCTTGCCTCCAAGTCATTGCTACAGAACAAATAGCCTCTATGGTCCACTTCCATTTGACAAATGTTTATTGAGCACCTTCTGTGTATGTGGCTTTGGGGTGGGCTCATTTAGTAGAGAGTGCTTAGTAAATCAAAGACCTACACTCCTTGGTGAAACTAGTCTCTATAGTTCAGGAGATTAGGCAGCAACTAAGTGAATAAATAGCCCATAGGGTGTTCTGAATTAAAGAATAACTGGTGGGGGGTGATATGTATATGAAGTATATACGGAAGAGGTGTCAATTAGAATAAGACCTATAGAAAGGGAAGAGGCCAGTCACCAAGAAAGTCAGAGAGAAGAACATAACAAAGGTCCAAGGCAAGAAGGGCCTTTGAGGGCTATAAGGAGGCCCAGGGTGGCTGGAACAGAGTTTACAATGGGGTAGTTGTATGAGACAAAGTGGTTGAGGTGAGTAGAGGCAAACTCATCCATAGCATCATGGGCAATGATCACAAGTCTATATGTAATGTGAAGCAGAACTGGAATCCAGAGGAGGATTTTCCACAGAGGAGTAACATGATCTATTTCACTTTTTTGTTTTTTTATAATCACCAGAATTAATATGAGAGTCAGTCCTCTGCAACAAAAGAATTAGATAGCTCTTGGTGAATGAAGTGAGTCCTGATTTTTTCCTCTTGCCCTAGTATAAATATTAATAGTCCCTTCATTTCACTCTCAAAAGGGTCCTACAGAGACCATAAAATGGTATGGTCAACTCACTGATAGAAAATGTAGTAAGAGTCCTTTGGCTGACATTCAAGGCCCATCTGAACCTGGTCTCAATTCACATCTCTTCTTTCCTGCCCAACACATCTCTACCTTATGGTGTTCTAGCACTCTGAAATGTAATGCGGGCAGTGTCCTGAACGGGACATGCATCTTCCACATCTGGGTGTGTACTCTGGGACCATCTCACTGACTAGTGGCCAGACCCAAGATGCCTTTCTAGAAACCATGTAGAATGGACAGCTTTTCCCTCTGTACTTCATTAGTAATCACAACTGGGTTAATTTTTTTTAGGGGGGTTAATTATTTATAAGTCTGTTTTCCCTGCTAGAATAGTAGCAACCTAATGGCAAGGACAGCAGCTCCTCTTATGTTTCTGGTCCTCACCACCCGCTGCATGCCTTGTCCAAAGCTGGTACTTGATATATGATCGCTAGGTGAATTATTTAATATGAAGGCAACATAAAATGCATATAACAATATGGTTGAGGAATGGGATTTTAAAATTAATTTATCAGTAAACTTAAAACATTATTGCCTTCCTATCTATTTTCACTCTCTAATTTCATCCCCCTGTCTAATGTAGCTCCATTTGTAAGTGACAATAAACTTTCATTAGATGGCTAGAAGTGAAAAAACTTTATAGGGCAAGAAGTAGTGTAGTTTTAGGAAAGTAAACAATCTCTAAGTAATTGTGAAGCGGAAATATAACAGATGGATGTATTACCAAAAGGCATTTTCACATACTTACCACTCTTAAACGATCCGGAACAAATCCTGCTCAGAAGAAGTTTTTGACGTAACTGTAGAACTTCAGCTTCTAAGGTTTCAACTTTTTCTCTCCATTTTGACTCCTGCCCAGATACCACCTTTGCAAGGTGCTCTGTGTATTCTCTGCTGCTTCTGTCTGCAGGTTTTGAGCGGATAATTGCCAAGGCCAGAGCCAGCTTGGAAATTCTCAAATACCATACTTGATTATCCATCCTGGCTTTTGTCCCTGTTGTCAATGAGAAAAAAGTTATAGTAATGAATTTTAACTTTTGCACTGATTTCATTTGCTTAAAATTGATTTTATATATAGAGTAACACTAATTAATAAGTTTACAATACAATTTGATGCTAACAGAAAACTTTGTGCCCATAGATAATCTTAATATAATTATTTATGATTGCCAAAGGACCCCATCAAAACCCACAGAACCTGTCACCAACTTGATCATCTAATGATAGATTCGTTACTTAAATTATGACATATTATACTACTGAATTGAAAATGTTTTTGAAAATACTTAAAAGTATGAGAAAATATTTTCTACATGATGTTAATGGCAGAGTTAAACACAGACATAAATACAGTAAAATCAGACATTTGTGGGAAAAAAATCTATAAAGATTGAAATATTGATAGATTTAGAGAGGTGGGAGGCAAGGACAGAGAGAAAGAAGAGAAAGAGAAAAGGGGAAGGAGAAAGGCAGACTAGAGTTATTAACCCAAATACAAATAATACATTGACTATGAGTTGAGAAAGTCTGATTTTATTTTGTTTATACTTTTCTGTAGTTTACAAGTTTCCCACAATAAGCAGTATAAAACATACTTCCTTAAGACATAAAAATGCCTTAATACTAATCCTACAGAAATATTCCCCGTTCTATTTTTCAAAGTAGAAATTATAGGAGAAATGGGTTTCGAATACAGTGTCAGAGCTCTAAACCAATCACTTTGTGGTTGTGATAAGACGCTCCAGCCTGTAGAGCTCACGTCCTCAATTCTGAGACATCTTTAACTATAAAACACACCATCAGTCCAACAGCAGCTTGGGAGAGGGAAGGGAGGTTAGGAATGAAATAACAACATATTAAACATACTCATAAAATTTAAACTACCAACAAAGTACTTTTGAAAATTGAGCGCTGTCAAAGGAATGAGAACTTTGTCTCTGAGGTTTTCTAATCTCCCTGATCAGCCTTCCGCACAGTCCGCTAGCCTGTGGAGTTCAGACCTTTCCATGTCCACAAGTAGATGTATGCCCCTCCACTGAGATGTGTTTGGTATTCCTTCCACTAATTCAAAGGACACAATGTATTTCAGAGACACAAAAACTCCCCAATGTGACCAGGCAGCAAGCTACTAGCCCCAATGCATGAGTGCTGACTGGCTTATAGCAAGCACTGTAGTAAATACTTGAATGAGTGAAAGAATGAATGAATGTATCAGTATAGGTCAGGCAGTCAGAGAGAGCGGTTTGACCAGTTTTTACCCTGGCTCTCATCAGTAAATCTTTGTCAATTACATGGTAGAAACAATGGCATTGGAGGAGAACGGGTTAGGAGGATAATTTAATTCGTTAACCTGAAGGTCCCATCTCTCTTCACTTTGCGATGCATTCTTTTTTGACTACTTCCAGTGGATCTACTCTTTCTAAACTTATACCTTTCTATGACCTTTAAACTTTCACCAAAACAATTCCTGAGTAAAGAAAATATAAGAAAGATAAAATCTAGTTCACACTTAGGTTTAGGTCACAGGGTAAGCTATAAGGGAGAAAGCCAAATTTTATCCCATTGTGAACCCTACAATAAATACATTAATTGCCTTCTCAGAAAAGAAACTGAAAAACACTGGCTAAATATTACCTAAATCACTGAGATAAATATGATAAGACAGAGTCAGAGGACAGGAGAAGTCCCCATGTACCATGATGGTGGAACGTGCATTTACCAAGTATTGGTCTGGGGCACCCCAGGGCTCTTGCAAAGCCAGAAAAGTAAGATATTGTAAGACTTCTTAGTTTTGGTAATGTTTGGATAGAGTCTAACATACAATATTTGAATTGGATCCAGCTGACAAATCCCCCAATTACTGTTACGGTTTCAGTACATACCACACTGTGAAGTGCTAGGCAGATTAACATCATGAGAAATTTTACATTAAAGAAATCAGGAGGTACTCAAGATCTCAAAACTTCCCACTTGAATTATTAAGGGAGCCTTTAAAAGCCTTTGCAGCAAAGAAAGTCTATGCCTGCAAGAGGCTGGTAAAGATAAAAGAAGGCTTGCTTTATTTTTTTCTTTTTGTTTCATTTCCATCATGATGGGCCAATTGGCTATAATTTTCCTCTTATTGAAAGAGTTAACTAATCACAGATATTAACTGTCTCTTAACACTGTTTTCTTTTTATGTAAACCTTCATTCCTCACCTTTTTATTCCTAAATATGTCTTTTTGGGGGGGCATAGGAAAGGTTTTATCTGGATCCTGGCAAGGAACTACTGTAAAATTTCACATAGGATAAATGCATCAAACACATTTTATAAATCAGCAAAAGGTACACTGATTCAGAAATGCAGAGTCATGTATATATAGCACATCCACCAATCATCTTCCACTATGTAAATCCACAGAAGAAAAAGAGACCTGATACCTACTATTAACACAAATTTAAAAAATAACTTGAAAGAATAATAGGCATTTTCTAGTTACACCACTGGTATTTCACACACTGATATGGACATAATCCTTATCACCAAAACAAGCATATTGTTCTTTGGGGTCCATAAAAAAGTCTCATAATCTACCTAATTTAAACCCATACACTCCACAAATTTGAAATCTTTATGAGGCTACACTTTGAAAATGGGAAAAGTTGCATGTCATGAATTTAGGAAGACGACAGAGTGAAGCCAGAAACCAAAGAAACACCCAGAAGAGGCACCTGAGAGCGGTTCAGCCAATCCCAGGAAAGAGAGGAGCAGCTGGCTTCTGGGAACCAGCTAAGCCAGGGCCTGAGCTTCAAAAAAAACAAGAATATAAAGAGAGGCAAAGGTGAGGCCCAGAGTCCTCTGGAAAAGGTAAAAGACCCTACTCAAAGAAGTACCATTTTGTGAATGCCACATTAAGAAATAAGATGTTTTCCAGCTACTATTATATAACACCGTCTTAGACTTCACTTCTGCATACACTTAAAATATGAACTCAAGAAAGCACAAGCAGCCCCACAGAAACATTTTCTTTAAGGCTTATTTTTAACTCTGGAAAGGTGTTCTAATTCTCATCTGTCGCACTTATTTAAATCTCTCCAAGGAGAGCACCACAAGCAACTGACAGTGCTTCATAGCTTCTCATAGGGCTTCATTATACAAGTAAATCTGTCTTTTACTTTCTACTTAGATTGCATTTGAAAAATATATTACAGTCCTACTTTTTTAAAGTGCATCCTATTAAAAAAGAGACAGTGTTTCACAAATACTGAGCACTTTGATTCCAGACATCCTCTAGCGCATGATGTCCTCTGCATTTTTATCCTTTCAAACTTAGCTCCTCCACTTGCTCCAAACAACACACACACAGAGGCAATACAGGCTTTGTTGTAAGTAAGTAATCACTCAGGACTGGTCCTCACGCCTTCCTCTACAATTATAGTTCCCACCTGCTCCTGCCCAGACTCTCAACTTAGTTCTATGACTGTGACTTACCTCTGAAGTAGGTCAGGGACAGACTCGCCTACTTTAACACCACAGAAGTTACATCCTGTATCAATACAAAGCTCTTCACACCAAGAATGTGTCAATTCACAGGATCCATGCTACTCACCCTCTGTCCCACTCTGTAGTACTACAACTCCGAACCAACTAAGGCATACCAGAAGAAGTTGCAAGCCAGTCTAGAAAACCAGTGTGGTACCCTCCTGGGCAATAAAAAATGACGTGAGGCAAGCATCCTTGGGTACCAAAGGAGGGCATCCAGAGCAGCCAGCAACTAGTCTCTAGCTATCCTCCCACCATTGGAACCAATACCTACCTCCACCCATGCAACAGGACCCATTTAAGATAAAAAAATGACAACAAAAGCCCTGTGGCCTAACAACTGTTGTCTACTTTTCCCAGGCAACTACCCAAACTTCCCAACTCCCCATTTGTTCTACCCATGAGAACTTGCCTTCCTCCTTAAAATTGAGCTCTGACCAACATGAGATTACCAACCAAAAAACTGGCTCATGACAATACCATGGCCAGGCCTGAACCACCATGCCCGTGGAAAGTATGGACAGAACTGCAGCTCACGGGCATCATTTTTAAAGTAATGCCATTTGTATTAAGAATTTCTAGAACCTTTTTAATAATGTTATCTTGTGACCATGAAAGAGGACTTTTATTGAAAACATCATCAATCTATTTCATCTTATATACAGAACACTCAAACAACAGGAACAAGCCTTAGCTTCATCAGTGGTGCAGTTTTATTCCAGGACAATCAATTAAAGTCATTTGTTTAAAACCACAGGAACTTCTCAAAGTAGCTCATGCTATAAAAGAAATTCAGATCTTTAACTTATGGTTTCTGAGTCTAAATCTACTTGTCCATTCAATTACTGAAAGGAAATTATAAAGTTTGGGTTTTATATCCTTATAAGTTTACTTAACTATTAATAGAAAATGTATTGAGAAAATAAAGAAAAATCACTAATTGACCATACTAGTATATTTGGCAATTTATTTCAAAAGCAAGCTTTTACCCTAGATAGTCTACCTAAGTTATCTGATGTGTGTCTACAGGGCTAAATTGCAAATATGTAGGTTAAGGTAATTAGCTATTTTTAGACAAACATGGGTTGAAAGTAAAAATGCAAACAGTAAATGTAGGAAATCTGGAATGGCTTCATTAATAGCAGACGAAAGAAACTTCATGACAAGAAAATATCAGAGATGTAGAGGAACACTGTGTAATGATAAAAAAAGTCAATTAATCAGGAAGGTTAACAATCCTTAATATGTATGCATATAATAGCAATAACAGAATTTCAAGGTATATGAAGGAAAAATTAAAGGAACTTAAAGGAGAGGTACACAAAAATCACAATCATATGTGAAGACTTTAACACACACCTTCCAATACCCAGTAGAGTAACTAGACCTGGAATAATAATGATGACAATATGAATGATTTGAAAACCACTACCCACCATCCTGAATGGATTGGCCATTGTAGCACATCACACCTTATACACAGAAGATGCACAGACATTCAAGTTTGCGTGGGGCACTGAATAAGATAGATCATACACTGAAACGCCAGGTTCTCAAACCACAAGAAAAACAATTAGAAATGTCTAGAAAAATCTCTCAAATATTCGGAAAATAAACAACACACCTCTAAATAAAATAGTGGAGAAAGAAAAACAAATAAATGTAAACAAATAAGTCTTTCAAACTGAATGATAAAAGCACAACATATGAAAATTTGAGGGAGAAAGCCACAAGAGCTTATAAAGAAAAAATTATAGCTTCAAATACTTATTGTACAAAAGAAAGGTTTAAATGCAATGACCTACACTTCCACCACCTGAGAAAAGTAGAAAAAGAATAGCAAATTAAAAGCAGAGGAAGTAGAAGAAAGGATAGCATAGAGATACAATTAAAATGCAATTCAAATAAGAAATAAACAATCAATAAAATTGATTTTAAATGCAAAAATTTTTAAAGATTAATAAAAATATTAAATGTTTAGAAGGACTTATCAAAAATAAAATAAAATAAATAACACCAATCACATCAAGATCAGTAATAATAGGAGGGATTTCACTATATAATGTCCAGCTATTAAAAAATAAGGCAAAATTATGATCTATGCTAATGAATTTGAGAACTTATGAGGAAGTGAATGTTATTTCTTGAAAAAATACACTGACCAACACTTAAAAAAATGATAAAGAATTCTGAGTAGACCTATACCTATAAAAGAAATTAGATGTTTATTAAAAACCTACCACAGTCATACAAAAACTGCATTTCCATATGGTTTCACTGCTGGATTCTGTAAACAATGGAAAAGGGAATTGTACCAAGTTTGTACAAAATCTTTTAAAAAATTAAGGAGTGATGATAGAATAAGCCTCACAAACTCTTTTTGTAAAAACCAGAGAGGAAACACCACAATTTGTCTTATAATTTGATATGTATATTGGTAGAATTGTGATACCAAAATGTGTAAAATACTGCAAGGGAAGATAATACTACAAACCACTACATGTAATAAACAGATTCAAAAATCATACACACAATACTAGTAAATCAAAGCCAGCAATTTATAAAAATTATCACCATCATTACCAAGCAGTTTGTCTAAGAATGCAAGATTGGTTTAATATTCAAAATTAAATCACTGTAATTCATTATAGCAACAAAATAAATTATTTAAAAATCAACATATGATCATCTTAACTTAGTTTCATAAGAAACATTTGAAAAATTCAGTGCTTTATGATTTAAAAAATAGTTCTGATAAACAAAAACTAGAAGGGAACTTACTAACTGTAATGAACATCTACAAAAATCCACAGGAAACATTACAATTAATAATGAAACACCAAATGTTTTATCTACCCCTAAGACTGAAACCACAACAAGGACATCTGCTCTTCTCATTTCTATTAAATACTTCACTGGAGATAGCAGGCAGTGAAATTAGGAAATAAAGAGATACATAGATTGAAAAAAATGAAAAGTTCTACTTATTAATATACAACATGAATGTCTATAGAAAACTCTATGGAATCTTAAGACAAACAACTACCAGAATTCATGAGTGAATTTAGCTAAGGCTCTGGACACAAGGTCAATATGTATAATATCTACTGTCTACATAAAATCCATTTGTTAAAAATTTTAAAAAGCAAAATAATTAGGAATAAACTTAACCGTATATATGAAAGATTTCCACCTTGAAAACTACAAAGCATTGTCCAATAAGTAAAAGGTCTAAATAAACTGAGAAATACACTGTGCTCATGAATTGGAAGGCTTAATATTAAGATCTTTATTCTCCTCACATTGACCTATATTCACAATTCTAATCAAAATTTCAAGCAACTTTTATTTTTAGAACTTGATAAATTCTAAATTTTATACTCAAATTATAAAAACTAGAACAACCAAAATAATTTTGAAAAAGAACAAAGCTGGAAAAATCACACTACTTAATTTCAACACAAAATACAGACAAAGCAATCAAGACAATGTTCTTTATAATCAAGACAGAGCAATGAAGCAGAACAGCAAGTTCAGAACTAGTTCTACACTTTCACAGTCAACTCATTTTCAACAAAGGCATCATGGCAATGTTTTCAACAAACAGTACTAAAACAATTAGAATTAGTTAAATATATGGGGAAAATGAACCCTGCCATCTATTCTAATCTTACCCCAAATTAAATTTAGTGGAATCATAGATCTAAATGTAAAATCTAAAACTAGAAGGAAACAGGATAAGTTAAAGAAAAAAAAAGATTATTTAGCAAAGTTATAAAAAGCACTAACCATTAGAGCAACATTGATAAATTAGACCATCAAAGTTAAGTTTTTAAAATAATCTCATAAGAAGATGTTAAGAAAATAAAAAGCAAAACCATGAACTATAAGGAAATGTTCACTCTCTATATACAACATAAGGACTTGGCTATAACTACATGAAGAACTTAACATATCGTTTAAAAAAAGGTAACCTGACAAAAAATGCTCAAAAGACATTAATAGAAGTCATTAAAAAAAGCTATAAAAAGTCTAACTATACAGGGATGGGCAAAAGTAGGTTCACCATTGTGAGTACATGAAAAAGTTTATTCTTGTATTATTATTAACTATCATATTACATATTAACCTACCTTTGCCCACCTCTGTATGAAAAGGTATTAGAGAAACACGAATTAAAATCATAGTGAGACACCACTTCACACTCAGGCAAACTAAAATAAGAAGCGAGTAAAAACTACATGGTGGGAATGTAAAACGGCACAACTTTTTTTAGAAAAGGTTTCACAGTTTTTTAGAAATCTGAACACGTGCAGCCTAGGAAATCCACTCACTTATTTATCCCCCAAATATAGAAATATATGCCACAAAACGGCTTTCCAGTGGCCGTGAAGGCCTGCAGGCAGCAGCCATGACACCCACCTTAAAGGGCAAGATCCCCCAGCCCCACTTCCGGGGGGATGGGAGGATCCCCCAGCCCCACTTCCGAGGCATGGCAGGATCATTTACCTTGTCACACTGTTTAACCAGCTGGTGGGAGATGTGTAGACACAAGGCACAGCAAGCCAAAGTGTGTGGAATCGCCCCTTGCCCTGTGTCTAAACCCCATCCGGCCCGTAGTGAGATGTCCCACGGTGAGGTATCACACGCAATGCCAGCTGGCAAGGGCTTCAGCTCCAAGAAGTTAACCTTCACCAAAAGGTGCCCTGGATCACTGGGATATCAGTGGATCACAAGTCCACCGAGTCCCTGCAGTTGAACGTGCAGTGGCTGAGGGAGCACCGCTCCACCCTCTTTCCCAGGAAGCCCTTTGCCCCCAAGAAGGCAGACAGCTCTGCTAAAGAACTCAGGAGGCCACCCAGCTGGCAGGACCAGTCACACTCATATGGAACATCTACAAGGAGAAAGCCAGGGTCATCACTGAGGAGAACTTTTCAGCGCCTTGGCCAGCCTTCTCATGGTCCCACCAATACCTGAATCTTTGGCATCCAGGCTAAAAGAGTAAAGGAAGCTGCAGAACAGGATGTTGATAAAGAAAAATAAAGTCCTCTTGGCAACTTGTGATATTAAAAAAAATACTTGTACAACAATGTTCATAGCAACTTTATTCAAAGTGGCCAAAAACTAGAAATGACCCATGTGTTCCTCAATAATGGAATGAGTAAATTTTGGTATATCTATATAATGCACACTTCTCAACAATAAAGTTTGTATATCAATACAACAGTATACAATTCAATAAAAAGAAATGAACTGCTAATGTATTCAACATCATGAATAAATCACAAAACATTACACTGAGTGAATAATTAATATAAAAATTGTATATACTCTAAATGTCTATACAAACTAATCACTGGTGAAAAATAAGAATAACTCTCACCTAGGAGATGGGGAAGGTGATTAAGTGGAAAAAAAGAATGAAGACATTTTACAGGATAAGGGTAATTAACTACCGCTGGGATGCACAGGTATGTTAATTTAGCCAGGACCATCAACGGTACACTTAATAATTTTTTCTATTTCACTGTATGTAAATTTTACCTCAATAAAATAGGGGTTTCTAGCAAAGATGGGGTTTAAAAGGACCACAATTACAATCCACCTTAAACAACTAGAAAGCAAAACATAAAATATAAACAACAGTTTTCAAACATTGAGCAGAAAAACAGTACAGGATTACAAGTCCCTAGAGAAGTTAAATAAACTAAGCCCCGCACTGTGCCAGCTAATTGCCTCAAGGCAGATTCTAGGTCAGAACAAGGAGATGGAACCCAGAGCCTGAATAGCTCAGCGAACTGGGAAGACTAAGATCAGAATTCAGAGAGGCCAGAGAGTACAACACAGGAGGGAACTGCATAGAAAAAGAGCTCTGGAAATCCACTTAGGAGGTCCCTCCAAATTTTGGCTACTGATTTTTATCCATGTGTGAAAGCAAACTATCTTAAGACCAGTGGTTCCATTGATTTTAGATCTAAAAGCAAGTAACAAGGGCAAATCTCTAAAAAGAATTACGTGAGAAAAGGTTAAAACAAAGTTATCCATTTGCACTCCACTTTGACCATATGTGGCTACTGCTGTGGACAAAACATCTGAGAAAGGCAGGCCAAGAAAAGACACTGTGGAAAGGGAATCCTTGGAAATGTGGCTCTTCACAAATGTAGATCACACAAGCAGTAAAGCAAAACAAAACACAACAGAATTAGTGTTTCTCATTCCTTATCCTGTTTCAGTGGTTCTCACATTTGAACCTGCCTTGGAATCACCTGGAGCACTTGAAACACAGATTGCTAGGCTCCACCACCAGAGTTTCGGATTTAAAAGGTCTGGAGTTGGCCCATTATTTGTGTTTCCCACACGTTCCCAGGTGACACTAATGCCACTGGTCTGAGGAGTACACTCAGAGAACCACTACCACACCCTGTTCCTGGAAACATAACACTTTCAGGAGACTAATTGCTTTCTTTAAACAAAGGTCCTTTCCAAAACTGTTAGGACTTTCAACCAAAAAACAAGAATAAGATGAACAATTGAAGATGTTCATATTTTAGGCAGTTTCAATGTTCAAATCACAATAACCTATCTTGAGTAAACTGATATTGACAAAAAAATATGTTAACTGCATGTGAGCCAATTTTGATTATCATTTTTAAGAAAATGGTCATGCCTGATATTTTCTTCTTTAGCTTTAAAGCATTAATTTTACATTTTGTTCCCTCAATATGAAAGACTTCTTAAAAATTAATTTTGGAGAGAGGAAGAGGTAGGAGAAAGAGAGAACATTCATTTGTTATTCCATTTATTGATGAATTCATTGCTTACTTCTTATATGTGCCCTGAGCTGAGATCGGACCTGCCACCTAGGTATATTGGGATGATGCTCTAACCAACTGAGCTACCCAGCCAGAGCTGAAAGATTTCTTAAACTAGATCCATATGGTATAAATTATAAAGGGGGGCCATGAGAAATTTTACATTAGAATTTTTAAACATCTTCTTTAAAAGACACCACAAAAAAGTAAATAAGTAAGCCACAGTCTAGGCAAAGATCTTATGGTCAATAAAGAGTGCATATTCAAACATCTAAAGAATATCTATAAATCAAAAAAGAAAAGATGACCCATCAAAAAAAATGAGTAAAGAGATGAATAAGCAAGTCACAGAAAAGCTAAGAAAATGGTTTTAGACATATGATAGACTGTCAGATATATATATATGCAGAGACATTAAAAATTTCACAACTTCATTGTTTGTTATAAAAATTAAAAATAATATAAATATCTGTTAATAGAATAGCCAAATAAATTGTGGTATATTTATGCAATCAAATTACTATTAAGCAATAAAAATTAATTGGAGCTATACAAATCAAAATGAATGAATCTCATAGTTAAAAGAAAAAAGCGAGAATAAAAAGGCCATATAACTTGATATAATTAATATAAGGAGTACTATATATTGCTTAATAATATAACCATATGTAGAAAGGTACAAAGAAATGGCATGGGGTGGTACATTCACAATTTCGTAATGTGACTACTTCTGCAGGGGAAGAAGGGGTGAAATCAGAAAGAGAAAGGGTTTCTCCTGCCTGGCAAAAATCTAGTTGCAAGTCAGTCTGAAAGTAAAGCACCCTAGTCTTTGTTGTATTATTCTTTATGCCTTTTTGTATGTCTTAGAAAGTCATAACATATATTTTAAAGATTTTATTTTCTTTTGGAATGATTGAATGACTTTAAAAACGAAGGCCCAAAGACAAAATTTAAATAATGAATTCATGTAGTTAATATAGTCAAGCCAACCCAATTGCTAAAGGAAGTAAAAATTTACTGTGATTGTTACCATAAAATGTGGAAGCTGTCTTTTTAAAGCATTGCTTTTCCTCAGAACACTATTGGTCAGTCTTCCAAAACTCCTCTGAACTGTGTCTTCCACGTGTAAACAGAAGAAACTGTTAATAAGCTAATATTATTTACTTCCACATTTTAGAAGAGATAATATTCTGTATTTATTTTCAGTAATGAACTGCAACACTGAAAGTATACACATATAGTATCTGAACTATATTTTTAAAGTGTCCAAAAATGCTTTTAAAGATAAATAGGGCTAAAATTCGATTAGGGTGCCAGTTCACAGAATTCTTATTAGAACCTGAACACTAAGGAAACAATGTGTTGTGGCAATAAAAACTTCATCAACACTTGAGGCATAATACAAAGTCCATCACTTCTGGGACATCTTCCCAGCCATTTCAGACCCTATTGATTTTTCCTCTTCTCAACAATTGTTGGAGTACCTGAACCACTGATTCTGGCTCTTAGTTAGGATCTGTTTTTGTTTTTTCTTTCTGTTAAGATTAATTTCCTTGGGGCGGGGGTCACAGGATATGCCATCTTTCCCTTCTAAACTGCTCCATTAACACCCCCAAGTAGGTCTGAGTAAGTAGGTATATTCTCACCTGAACTGGGTAGCAGAAGGACTAAGGCCCAGGCTTCAGAATGGCAAGCCTACAGGCTGAACCCAGCTCTGCCCTTGGCCAGCTGAATGACAGGGTAATTGCCTCTCACTGTGTCCATAAAATGAAAAATATACACTTGACTCTTCAACAACACATGGTTTAGGGGGTGCAGACTTCCCACACAGTCAAAACTAGTGAACGACTACATACTTATTTAGTAACACTCTCATAAAATTGTTTTAAAAAGCAAAGTAAATGATGGTCAAAAAGCATGCATGATAGTACCTGACAGGCTCAAGAACTGTTGTTTTTGTCACTACTAGTTCTACTCTTACAGCTATGCTATTACACTGCAATTTATTTAAAGGGAAGGAATGAGTTTTCTAATCACATAATTCCTAATTTTGTGCTCTTTTACCCAATTTTATTAGTTTAACCATTATATTGAGTAATGTCCTCCTTGACACCCAATTAGTAAGCTTGACTCTACATGCAGTTCTAGTACAACCAGAAAAACAATTAGTTATTCTGTACCCAAATATTCACTTTTTTAGACAAGCGTAACTGTTTACTTAACAGAAGCTTCCATCATAACTGCTGTTATTAATTAAAGTTTGCACTGACCTTGTATCAGTGATGTGCCTACTGAAAATATTTTGTTTAGTTCAAATATATTTTGTAAAATCATAAAGGCATTTTCATACATCTACTACAAATACAGATTCTTCTAAAACATATACCTCCCCACCCCTAAAACAGTGAAAATAAACCATTCATTTGATCATTATTCTCCCATGTCAAGTATTTGCAATGGTTTGGTACTCAGCAATTACAGACTTACAACATTTTGTGGAAAGCTCCTTTGTGATTAAAATATATTTTGAAGCAAATTAAAAGTAAGTTTAAGCGGCTGTGGGATTTTTATGGCTCTCTGACCAAACATGATCCTGCAGATTTAAATTTAGAATAGTCTGACACAGCACTAACTGCTGGCAGCATTATTTGATCTGAGTAGACATGCAAACATTCAAAAAAAAAAAAGCATGTGTCAA